GAATCTTGAAATGATCGTGGATAAATTTGGTATGCTATAGATTCTTTCCACCATTTACGTCGAACTTCAGTTGTAGGATAAAATGATGATTCCATTGTTGATGCTGGCTTAGTAATAGTCGATGGATTTTTTGTAATTGTAGACATTTTATTATGGTGAAATAAACAATAAAGTAATCTAGAAGAAGTTCTTTGGTCAATCGAAAAAACTGATGTGAAAAAAAAGCAATTGTCGTATATGATATGCGGAAAAGTTTTGCTATTTGTCGCATGTTGAAATGCAAGCATTAGTTTTCAATTCGAACCATTGTTATAATGATAAAGTATCTTTATAAAAGTTCACCTAATGTCAATACCAAATTTTCTGATTAATTTGTGCATGTTGTTGCATAGGTTATTTGAATTTTATTATACCGGAACATATGTAAAGTTAATTTAGCAACAGAATTCCGTTACTCATTATAAATCTTTGTGATGTACAAGAAATCCACTCATGTAAGTAAAAAATAAATGAACACGTATAACATAACTAGTCAAAAATGTTCGCATTATACTCAACATATTTATTTATCTTGACAATAGAATGACGTTAGTTTAAACAGCCACTTGTCTTTCTTATACTAAATTGTCCAAACAATTGTCTTTAGCTGACCAATAATGGAAAAAAGATCATTCTTGTTCAGGAGTATCCAAATGTGTTCATTTTGATGAGCATCATCGTTTGAACGGTTCAAAATGTCTTGTTGTCAAATATTACTACGCTGTTCTTACTAGTGCTCTTCTCTCAGAACATTCTTTTCGACAACTTGCTAGCTCATCCGTATATAACTTTCTATTGGCCCTAACTCGGCAACCTATTATCAGTTAGCCTCATCTACAAAATTCATTCGATATGCAGACACTTCTTGTGAAAATGGAAGACGCAGTAGAAAAGACTCGTGCCTTATTCGAATTCTTCAAACTGGAAATGCTCGAGGAAGATTCTGAAAATAAAAGATTGAATCAATTTGTTGAACGAACAACTAGACATGTGCGCAAGCAAAACTCAAGATATACAGACAGCCGTTAAGCCCTTGGAAGAAAAGCTTGAAATCAGAGGTCAAATAACGCAATTTATTTACATTACTGCGGAAACTTCTGAGTCCAAATTTAATGACTACCAAAACAACATCAATAGCTTTTTAAAAAAATTATTCTGAAATCGTTCATAATCCTTCGTGAGTAGTGAGTTCTACTGATTTCAGATGAATACTACTTATTGTCTATCGACATATGAAAAAGTAGGATAATGAATCGAGATCGCGATTGGTTATTTCTTCGAAACAATCTAAGCTATCATCGTTGAAACTAAAATAACACTATTATCATCGCTACAAACGAACCTTAAACACGTAATTTAATTCTGCTTGGAAAGATTTACTACTTTTGCTTCTAACTTACTTGCTTATTTTCTCCATTTTTTTGTGTAATCTTTCTCTGCTACATGGATTGTTCCTTTAGGATTGCTTTGTTCAGATGGTGTAGCACAGTAATAAAAAAAAAGACACCAAAGCCGTCTGAAAGACACTCACACAACTGCTCCGATTGATTTACAATACGGCAATGACTTACAAATGAAGCCAAGTATACTTAATACCATCTGATTAAATGCTTTTTTCATAAGACTTGTTTATTAGACGTAACTTCTAAGAGGTTTTCCTAGGAAGACGAATATGTCAATTGATGAAATTTTGTGAGACCATATGTATATAGATAAGTTGACAACTAAAAGCAGATAGGTCTACGTCACGTATTTCATCTCTTTATTATCGATATTACCACTACTTTATACAGGATTAATAATTAGATGTTAAAAGGAAATAGCAAGGTAGATGTATGAAGGATAAACACTTGCTAAGAGACGACAAATAGAATAGGAAAACATCTGTATATAGAACAATACATATGACCACATAGTAGAAAGGAAAAATATTAATGAAAAGAGAGCAGAAAAGGAAAATCTGTATGGTGATAGAACAGAGAGGAGAAAAGAACAAACATATAAATGACAACAGATATGATGAACAGATGACTCTCAAACTTCTTAACAATTTATCCGATCGTTTCACTCTTTGATCACTGCTCATACAGAAGAATGAATCGGGTGTCTTTGATGCAAAAGTTCCGTTATGTCTTGCATTTGAAAAAATTTCGATGGTTCTCCGATTCTGTGAATAAAGACCTTTGGTTTGATTTCAATCTTAGACTTTTATTGCGTTCGTCAAGATTCAAATAGATTTTTCAGTGCTCATACATCATTAAAAAGTTTCTATTAGTAGTTCTTGAATATATTTTAATGTTAGCTTACTAAGAATGAAACTAATGTCTCCTACTACCACAATTCTCAATGAAATATAAGCATTGTAAAAGCCATTCTGTTTGATCTGCTGTGTGATAGGACTATTTTACGCATATAAACTACTTCAATCAAACCTTTCTTTAAATCACCTTCTGATAAATCCAATATCTAATTTTGATATCCTGTCGTTTTTTTGTTGTTTGTAGATACTTTTGGCATTCAACTTTAATTTTGTCGCTAGTCTAGTTATGTTGGAAATCAAATATACTCACGTAATAAGTGATACAGTAGAGTGCAAATTTTGTTTTGTATACTCCTAACCAAGTTTGCTCCGTGTTTGTCGTTGACGAGCTTACCTAATTTTATCTCACTTGCATATGTTTATGTGGATCGATGAAGCATGACATTTTCATCAGGTAGGCAGCTTTTTTCATCAATAAACTCATTATTACACGTTCTTCGTTCTTTCAATGTTTTTTCTTGTCTTTGTCTTCCTTTGCCTTTCATACTGTTACGAAGAGAAAATACATACTAAAATTTGTAGACACGAGTATATTACACTTTCATGTTAAAATTTCTTTTTCGTGAGTAAATGAAATAATATGTTTTTGATTTTAAAACTGGGCTACGACAGCAGTTCATCGATTACGGTCGGAAACTCTTCACAAATATGATTCATTCTATTCACCATACAAAAAATTTTCACTCATAAGTGTTGAGCGAGAGTGCTTCATTCTGTAATTTTATGTCAGATGATCATTACCGAGAGCTGTCTGTAGACATGCATAAAAATTATGTGCAAGATCACAGTATTTGTCGTAATCTGATGTAAAATGAATGAAATTCATCAAGACTCTGTCGAAATGAGCAGTTTGCGACGATACATTTTACTATTTAACTGGCAACAATTTATACGTCGTCGTTATTCTCATTTGGTAGAAAGACCAAATATCATTTAAATATTTCTGATTGGTTGAATTCTTTAAATTAGTGCTAATATTGAAGAATAGATGTTTTACGTTCACATGTATCTTGACTCATTTAATTCAGAGAAAATTTCTTGAACTCTGTTCTATATCTTTGGATACTATGATAGTTTGAAATTACAGACTTTTTATTTGTATATGTATCTTGAATTCTTTTAGGTTTTGTCGACCTGCCGATTTCTAGATTGTGGATCTATCGCTATATATTTTTGATTTCTTGATAATTATTGTGCAAAAACACTCATGGTCACACACGCATATCCTTCTTATTTCCTTCAAATGGCTTAGAATATCAATCTCGCATCCGAGTTTAATTGTTATATCGACCTCTAGTTGCTTGAAACGGTTAATAAAATCTATTTATGTACCTTTGTATTTCACTTTAGGATATAATGGCATTACGATATCATGGATGAATAAGTCTTTGGTTTTAGTAATATTTACTGGAGAAAATTTATTATCTACGTATTTAGCTAATATACTTATTATCATTTCAGTCTATCACTCTAGTTGGGCAATAGTTTTAGAAAAATGTCTTTCCAGAGCACCCAAATATGACGATGGCTAGATCGTGTAAAAACTATGATATACTATGTTCATCAACAAAGAAGAAAAAAATGAATGTGTAGCCAAAAGAGGTTGGCTGCCAACATTGAACTTTGAGAAACACCAACAAATAAATTAATCGGAGTGACAGTTTGGTATGAGAAATATTGAAATTAAAATCAGGTGCCACATCTTGTCAGGCCATATTATGAAGTCTACAAAGATTACTTGAGCTGGTCTATTGTTAACTGCAATTGTTAGCATTAGGTCTTCCGCTAAAGATGAAATACGTGTTTGAAGTCTTCTTTCCAAGGAATATTTAGACTGTTCATCTATACGAATCCCTTTATGGCAACATAATTGAGAAGCACCCATATATATTCTTCTCTCGAAACATTCTCCTAAATTAAACAGAAGTGATACTATGTGTCGATCGCTTTTTTGTACATGTTTCCAGTTTTTCCAGCTTTTACTCATGAGATATTTTTCATTAGAACAATTGATAGTTAAGAGATAATTTCATATTACTTTAATGTATCTAAATGAACTTAGCTACTTGAGTCAAACGATGAACTTTCGAAATAGATATGTTTCAGAAAAAAACTTGTAAGAGTACCCGCCAATAACTGATAATATTTTCTGAGCATGTGGTTGTAGTAAGATCTTTCAATACTCATGTACAAGCGTGAAATTTTATGTGTTTATATTTCCATATACTATTTCCTTGAGAAATATAAGATATTCTATTTTCCATTTTTTCTGCAGGAATGATGATTTTTCATTTAAATAGATATTTTTCTAGATGTGGGTGTTCATGTGGGTGTGGGTACGGCTGTACGCATCTGTGTAGTGTGGGCGTGGGTGCATTGTTGCTGTGCCTGCCGGTTGGAGCGTTCGTATGGATGAACACATTATACACACCCATACGCCACTGGGATTTAATTTAATCATCTAGGACTTGGGGTATTCAGTCTAGGAATTCAAACTAAAAAAGGTTTGACATATAGATGTGTGTACCTGTTGACGGCAACGGCATACTCACACCCACCTACACCGATCCCCACACACCTACGCTCACGATCACACACTTACAACTGGATGAGAGGGTGTGGGTGTGGCTGTTTCTATGGTCGGTAGTGCGAGCGTGGCTGTTGCTGTGGCCGGGACTGTGGACATGGCCATGACCACATGTGTGCAGGTGGGTTGGTGCATGGTGTCGGTATGGGTGAGTGGCGTGTGTGAAGATGTTAGGGTGAGTGCACAGCGAACAGAGGATG